AAAAAAAAAAAGGTTACATTTGTAGTATACTGCAATAATATTTTTTACAGCCAGTTTTTTTTTTGGTGGTACTTGTTCTGGTGGCTTCTGTGTAAATATGTTTGCTGTAGGTGACATCAGACACTTGGAAAAGTTCAACATTCTAGTTCCAGCTAGATGCAGAACGACTAAGCATGTATATTTTACCAAGCTCATGTATTTTTGAAGTTTTTATGTACTATAAAAATGTACCAAAAAAAAAATATTAAATAAATAATAAAATAATCTTCATTTAGCATTTTGCAGAAGAAGGGAGAGGCGTGTGGAGGAGGAGACGGGTCAGTCCCCGTGGGAGGTGGTGGGTGCCAGGGGTGTTCCCTGGCTTTGCTGAGCAGCTGCTTTAGGAATTGACACTGGAGGTGGGCTCGGGAGTGTCAGGAATTTGGGTTGTCTCCCAGAGTATCAAATGCCCCCTTTTTGTTTTTTTAAATTTTTGTTTGTCTTTTTCCTTGTTTTCCCCTGGGTCTGGAGCGGTGCCCGGCGGGTGCCAGCCCAGCTGTGCCTCAGTGCAGCCCCCTGGGGAGGGAAGAGCCTTGGACCCTGCCCCTTTGCCACCTTCCCTGCAGGGAGAGGTTCAGGACTAATCCCTTGAGGCTGTGATGTTCCAGAAGGGATTTCTCTCTTCTCAGCACTACCTGCTGCCTCAGCTAGCACCCTGGGAGGCTTCTCCATCCACCAGCTCTTCCCAGGGCACTGGGACAAGTCCCTGCTGTCCCCACTGACCTGGCTATTCCAGGTTGGGGTCTTCTGCTGACGTGGCTATTCCAGGTTGGGATCCTTCTCGTGTTCAGGAGCACCTGAGGGTGCTTTGTAGGACAAGAGCAGGCAGCAAGGGGACACAAGACACATGCCAGCTCCCTGATGTCCCTGTCCCCTCCTAGGAGGGGCAGGACTTGGAAAGAATCAAAACCTCTGAGCTTCCTCACTCTTGCAAAGGAGAAACTTGGTATTTGAGCAGGTCAGACTGAAACAACAACGGGCAACAAAAAAGGGACTCAATTTCACTGTACATAATTAACAAATGCAGTATTAATGTCTCAGTGCTGAGCTTCATTAGCTTC